AAAATTCCCTAATAGTTTTAGCATACTTAGATGTCCAATCTCTCATGAAAATTTCATTTAACGAATTAACAATTGTTGGCGAGATGAAAGAAATTCCAACACCAGCAGTGCTGATGAAGTAATCACCAGCCCAGTTCGATGTGCCTGAAAAAGAGTCGATGAGTTGATTCAATTCTTTCAAATACAACTGAAATTAAGAACCCACCAAAATAAGCGATCTTCTCAGTAACCATATATTTATTATGATTTACACGAGCATGTGGGATTTCTTCGTGAGATGGATCCATTGGAATCGTAAATAACTTCTGCAAAAATCTCCGAATTTGTGCTAACGAGGAAATAAAAAATTTGAAAACCTTATTCAGAACTATTAATGTAACCTTCGACACAAAAACTTATGAAAATTTCAAATCTGGAATGCATAACTCCAACTATTTTTTTTTTAACGATCGACCACTGCTGATGATCAGCATTTTGTTGGTGACTACATTTTTTCCTATCAGTAAAATGAAAATAGAATCAATTATCACTATATCTTGCAGTGGAGATAAAACTGAACAAACTTAAATGAAGTCCTGCTAAAAATGCTTACCACTTCGATTTTCCCAGAATGGTTTGCTCTTCTTGGCACACCACCATTAATTTCAAGCAATGATTTCAAAAAATGAATCATTTCGGGTCGAGAATATTTCCAATGACTCACCAGCAACCGAACATTTATTCCACGATAAGCGGTTGCACGTATTGCATTGTCTAATTTCGGCCAATATCTGCAAAATTATTGAATCTATGGCGAAGATATGAGTGCGAATAATGAGAAGTTCATTGTAATAGCTGCCGAGTGCCAAATCTATTCCTGCTTAAATTTATAAAATGACTACCTCAGCACTGAGGAATTCTGAGTATCTTCTATTTCTAAAATGACTACACGCTATTGTCAGCAAGAAACTGACAAATAAAAGAGGAATTTTTTTACTCCCACTTTTACCTCTTATCTATTATCAAAACCAAACTGATAGTCATCTTCATACGATCTTACCAGAGAGAACTTTTATACGAATCGCACTGTCCTCTGTTTCCCTTAATTTTCCACATCCTCCTTTGCAATAGGAATTATATTATATAAACGAATTAACAAAAATAAGAGATAAAATGGAAGATAGAAGTTTTAGGCAAACATATGTCCATATATCCACATTTTGTCATAAAAATTAAAGCTTGTTACTCTATCCTAACTGTATATTCTTAATCTGCTAACTCCGATAGAAAAAGTAACAGGTTCTGAAAGTTAGAAGCTAACACATTATTGCTAGTAGTTCTATAAATGGTTGCAGGCATATAATCCATCACTGATATATGGACAAATTCATGTGCATCATCCATCATTGCAACGATAGCATCACCATCTTCTTCACGTCCTTTCGCATTGAATTGACGAGGAGAACTCTGAATAAAAACGAAAAATGCCAAATGATAAATATATTTTAATATTTCTCATTTCTTTGCACAAATGTAAGCGATCGATAAGCTGCTGGGACCATATGTTCGTGCATAAATTTTGAATTAACTTTTAAGGTTGTGGAACAAATCTCATGCTATTAAAAAGCGTATTATTAGAATACAATTAAAACTCATGATAGTTCAGTTTATTCTGGCCCTAGCAGGGATGCAGTCAAGGAGTTTTTAAAAAGACTAGATATCACAAACAATCTATTTGATGTCACACTTCTACTGGATTCCATCTAGTGCACTCAAGATGAACATTTATCGACAATTAATAGGAGGATAATGATAGCACATACCGATATGAATGTACTGGTGTCTTTAGCACTGAGAAGTCTAAGTGGATGAGAGAAATTAAAGTAAGTTCTTAAATTCAATGGCCATTTATAAGGAATTTTTGCTTCTTTCACTCCAAGACGCCAATAAATAGTGAAAATTTTATACAAATCATTTGCTATGCACGTGCAATTCCAAATTACAACGCCTAATTCTTTGACCTGAACAAATTTTTTGTAATAATCGTTAATCAAATTAATAATTGAAATAATGACCATTCAGTCAATGAAGGTTTAGTTCATAGAACCTGATGAAAAAAAAAATATTAGTAGGGTGCCAGTACAGTTACCTCTGTAAGAGATTTCCAATCCATATTAGCTGATCCAATGTAAACATGACGAGAATCAACAATCCAGAATTTGGCATGAAGAACCCCATTATCATCCATCAGTTTTGGCATATCCAAATTCCGTACAGTTGCATAACCTATAATGAACAGAAAAGGAGATTTACAGGATATGTCCAAAAATTCAATGATATTTGAAATACTCATTCGAGCGCAGCTTATTAGTCGCTCAGGGAAACTTCAAATATTAACGTGCTAATCGTTCTTTTTATTATCTGCCAGTACATGCTATCGACTTAACGGTCATTCCAACCTTCGGATCAAAATCTTAGAACACATCACCTTCAAACCTAATTGGGAAGTTATCGCTCATTAAAATAATAAAATGATTCAGAACTAATGTAGAGGTGGAGATTAAATAAATCAAAAAAGATTTTATAAACAGTTTGGACTGAAAAATTGGATTCCAAATTTAATTTCAAGATTAGGCTTACTTTTAGAAATTACAAGTAGCACAAGAAATTATCAATGTTTATGCGAGCATTTAAATCTTACCATTCTCAGCAAAATAGTCCGAATCGAACTGTGGAAATGCTGCCGTTGGTTGATTTTGTACTATTTTTATCTTTAACATTAAAAAAGTTGTTTTCATTAGCACAGATTTTCACAATACCAACACGCAAAACAGCAGATAAAATGTTATCAAATTCTAATCATGAAGAGAAGAAGTAACTGTCGAAACTTATTACGAAATGATGTAATAAGGCACAAATCTAAAACCTCAAATAACGAAAATAACAAAAAGGAGCTAACCCGAACATCACGCTTAGCGGCTCTGATAAATCTTTCGAATGTATCATTTCCCTGCAAAAAGACTACAAACAATAAAGTTTTATCAACCGATTGCAACACCGCATTCATTAGTGTACAGTTAATAAAACTAATATTTTAAGATTTCGTTATCAAATCAAAGAAATCTATCATCCGATTTCGCGCTTCTTTGTCGCTCCTTATTCTTGTTCGACCTACTAGATGAATACTTCAATAGTGTGTTAATGATATACTATGCATAAGTGAATACTTTAGGCAGCGCATAAGCTTCTAAAGTCCTGCAATTAAAAGGTCTATGCCACTCTGATTGCTCAGTTCACCATTGTATCATTAACACACTTATTAGCCTCGTGATAGGTATTGCTCAGTCCCCTAAATGATAGTACCTTTGATATTTACTCGACAAGTCGGATCAAAAGTGTTGGCTTGATAGCATCGAAAGATAAACTGACTAATGCATAATGGCAAAAAAAGATAATAGCATAAAAATAAGGTTAATTTCAAGCTAACTCAAATAATCAGAGTATATATGGCGTATGTCTTTGAAGTTACCTGCCAAGAGGTTGAATGAGCTGCAGGATCTCGAAGATTCCAGTAGAAAGATGCAATATCAATCGAAATTTGTGCATTATCCAATAATTGTTTCCACACTTCGTAGGAATTCGTACGGCTACTATTGTCAAAAACCAGAACCGCTGGTATAGTTTCAACTAACTGCACTCTGAAATGATCTATTAATGAAGAATGTGGATGTCAACTAACAAACAAATGTCCTTACCATTCAACATTGTCTTTAGAAACGAACTGAAGTTCATAGGCTCTTCGGAATCAAACAGCAATGCAAATAGAATTGGAAGGAGAGGGAAAGGGCATATCAACTAATGCTTAAAGTAGTAGGCTCATGTTTCTTTCGAAATTATAGCGAAATGATTAATATTAATACGAATAGCTTAAAGCATACAGCGTTTATACAGACATTAGTATGGCATAATAATTCCTTTTCGGAAGTTTTTTTGTTGTACTACCATTCTTCTCATTCGTCGATATGAAATGCGCTTTTTTTGCATTAGTGTCTTTAACCTTTTAGAAAAACGATCCAATTAATTTACTAGTCAATCCAAGCAACAATTCGGTAACAGCTTAGAGGTTGAATATGTATTTGTCAAAAATGCAAAAGCCCAATTCTTGAAAAATAATAAAAAACAAGCCTGCACTGATCGGTACAACGACCATTTCGATCGTAACGGATGGATGTCATATCAAAGCCATCTTCATTGAATAATGGGAAAAATACAATTAAAAATATAAATAGCGATATGACCGATACTGGAATACATGCTGGTTTGATAATACTGTGTTGACAACATTGTTCATTTTCTTCCTGAAAGATTAAGAGAGTTTACTTCTCAGTTCAGTCTGAAAGACGACTGCATTATCGGAATAAACATTATTTAAGCACAGTTATTCTTTTGAATTCGCACCGTTCATTATAAGCCATGGATTCAGTTATATACAAGGTAACGAATACACAAGACTCAGCTGTAGTTATTACGGAGATGATAAATACTAGACAAATAAATCTGGATCAGTTTTGCTTGCATGTGGAATTATTTAATAAAATTCGAAATGTATAATTAGAGCTCCATAACTAATAAATTATGGAGCTCTAATTATACTGTTCGGATTTCCACATGCAAACAAGAGAAATGAAAACTCAATTGACTTGACAAGGACTTATCGATCACCAGAAAGGTAGAGATCCCAATAACAGTCAATTTGCTAACATTACCATAGAGGAATTGTAAAAATGAAGACGGACCTTTTCCAGAGCATATGAATTTATCTTTGTATCAAACAAGTCCATCTCAAAATTGGTCATATCAGCACGGCCATCTTGGGTCTGAAATTTGAATTTTATAAATGATTTTACGAACAGAAATAAGTGAACTTACATATTTGGCTTTATGCTGTGTACCATTAAGGCATAAGTAAATATTTTACTTCTACTTTTATAAAATGCTGAAAATTAATATAACTATCTTAAATTACTTTCATACTTTCATTACTCAGACAACATTTGCAGAACTCTTAAAATTTATAAAAGTGAGAGCAATTATACTTAACGTATTCTTCTCACAACGATATTCGCTGTAATTTATCCATTAATTTTTTATATATAATTAAATTATGTATTAAATTTGAACATTTTTACTATTTTCTACTCTATTTAGAAATCATGGAAAGTCAAATAAAGATCATAATTGAATAGAAGTGTATAGCACGAATAATAACATATGACATTAATGAAAATGTTGTAATTCGAGAATGATTCCTTTCTCCTATCAAAATCGCCACTACAAAGTTTTGAAGCGTAAAAAATAAACAAACATAAACTATAAACATCTATTTAGAAATCTTGAAAAACGTTTAGAAAATGAATAGGAGGAGAAAGATGAATCAACTAGTGAAACGATGTTAAATGTCTGATTATCTACGATCTTAAGATTAAAAAAGAAATGTTTGCATGCAGTAAGATGACACCTTTTTATATGCTCCATTTCAAAAGTGTAATGACTTCGAAGGAAGTTTAATTCATTACACAACAGAGAATAAAAATGAAAAATTTTAAAAATCACCTCTCCAATCGGTATCATTGCTGTTATCAGTGCATCACATCTACCTTACTCAACAAAATCAACTTTATATGGCGCAAATAGATACGTACTCCATCGGTGTTGCGTATGCCTGCGTCGCTTGTGTATATATATGTGTATGTGTATGTATGTTGTATGTATGTATGTATGTATGTGTGGTAGAGGTATAAGAGTGACAAAGAAAATCTATCTTTGGAATAAGGAAGCGAAATAGTACACTATCAAGAAAGAGAAAGGAAGTTTGTTGAATTTATTAGAGGAAGTACTAGCTCTCATCATATACTATTATAAGCGAGAGAGTAAGGAATTATGTAAAATGTATGAGATGAAATTAAATTGAATTTGAATTGCTAATTTAAATAAGGGATTATCTTAGTACAACAAATTTAAATATTATTTTTTAAAACTATAAAATTTCATTGCTTTTGCAAAATTGATGCATTAATTGATCGGCCAATAATCAAAACTGGAAAGTCAGTTTAAACAAAGAAAAATTAATTCTCGATAATTACAAAGTACGTGCTTAATATCGCATACTGTACAGACAGACGATTGTTGGTATCTTCACAGTGATAAGCTGCATAAGCAAAATGCTCTAAAACAATTAGTAACATAGGCCAACGATAAATTATTCCACATAAACAATTATGTTTAATGTAGAAAGTTACTGAATGAATAAAAAAAAAAAATCTCCAATTTAATTTAAAAACCCCCTATAACAGTTTCCACTATAAACAGTTAAACCAAAGTCATCGTATTAATAACATGCACACCTATGTCTCACCTATGTCATTAATAATCCTTTTTAGAGAATGTATTGAATTGTTTGTGGTAAAACATGTGCACGTAAAATATTGCTGGTATATTTCGAAAATGGCGTGAAATCATTGACTGAAGTAAATTTACTCAACATTTCTCAATAAATCACAATTTTGTTTTCTATTTAATAGAACTAATAGCCAATCATTTCAAATTTAATTAACGGTGATATCAAAAAAAAGAACAATGCCACGATATCTTAATAAAATGTTTAACAAATATTACAAAAATTTAATACACAGTTATATCTATAACTACTTTACAATATTAGTAACGATTCAACTTCATTCACTCAAATCAAAAAAGTAATCCTAACTGTCATGAACGCCAAATCAAGTGCTTTGTGTTAAAAGGATTTTTAAAAAACATACCAATTCTATAAGCAATAAAAAACTCATATCTATTACTTAATTACTTTCTGATGAGATTAATTGAATAAGTTTAAAATGATTAAGGTAGGAGGACATAAATTATTACATCATATCCTTTTATTACCAGGGATGATATATCGTTTATTATGATAGCATTAAAAAATCTCATCGAAGTGTAATAAATTCTTAATAATATTTTAATGCCCTCTTTCGTTCAATAATATACATCCCTTCCCTTAATATTGTTAAAAAAGAAAAATGTTTGATGAAAAAATATACGAGTGAAAATCATTTCATATTTTATTGGACTATAATCTGACTACAAGGGCAGTGAGAAATGTTTTCATTCCTTTTCATTAGCTATTGCATAACCATAACAACGAACGGATAAAGAGATAAACTAAGGCTGTGTAATTAGCAAGGCAATGAAAAATATATTTTTTTCCTGACAGAAATTAATAGATCAAGATTAAATTGATGTAATTTAACTAGATTTTTAAAGCAAAATTAAATTCACAGCGTCAGATTAATCAAGAAATATCACTTCCTATTACATACCACTTTGAAGAATAGCAGTTGAAATGGACCAATTTTATTTTAATCCCTCCTCCAACCGACTACAATTATGATACAAGTATAAAAAACTTACATTTTACCTTTCCTCTCCTTTAAGTGCTCAATTTTATAACAACTAACTTTCAACTAAATAAATTGACAAAATTAATGAATAATTGATACTGAGCTCCTCAGAACTTTACAGAGCAAGGAGTTCTTCTAGTAACTTGACCACTTTCAAGATAATGTGGGAATAAACAACCATTCCATATTAGAACCACAGCGAATTACTGACTGATTGATTGATGAAATTTTCAGAATGAATAATTTGCACTAGAGAAAGATAACTAATATACATCTCCAGCTTATGATTTAATCTTAAAAAAAATCACCAGACGAACACTTTTTTCTGGTGAAATGCAACCATATGTTTCCTTTCCAGCTGATTATATAATTGAAACTGGCAGCTGGTAAAAGATATTCATCATATCATGCACATTCTCGTCATCCCCTAATTGAAATTTTTGATATCCATTATTTCCGCCCCTAACTAGAAGCCAATTATCTTCCTTAGTATGTTCTCATAAATTCGCAGCAATGACAGATATTGAGCACCATATCTTTCCTTACTTGAAATTTTTTAGTATCACTTATTCACCTTTGGAAATCAAATAAATTGGTTTCCAATTGACCACTGAAAATAACTAAAATTAATTTCAGTTAGAAAAGCTATGCTATGTAAATAACAGAATAAGTTCCGTTCTTGCAATAATTGATATTACTGCAGTTTGTAAATCATCATTATTTGTCATATGCAGACTTTTTAACAGCATCCTAAAAACCATAATTGTCATACCTCAAAAACTTGGTATACTGCATCCAACAATTCGGCCAGTTAATTTGATGTTTCTTTGTAACTTAATTGCACCACATGTTCCCATGAACCAACTTTGCAAATGATATGTGTATGCTAATATACGCAGAGGGCGACTCCAATCACTAATCAAATTAACTCACCTCCCACGCTGTTGTCATTTCGCACCCTTTATATTTTGATTTCTTTTTCACAACCAACACATCACTGAGTCAGTTTTGATGCATCAGTGAATGCTCTTCAACTGGAGCAAACATATAGGAACACTTCTACATGTGTTTAAAATGAATTCGCATTATCAAAACAATGTCATAATTATTCGTACCAAAAACATAAATGAAAACGCGCTGCATAACAAACCAAAACGGAATACATGAAACGCGCTGCATAACAAACCAAAACGGAATTGATGAAATCGAACAGATAGCAACAAAATGACACAGTGCCAAAAGTAGAAAGAGTACAATAACGAGATCAACAAAATCTCATTTTATATTGAAATTTATAACTTCAATCAATAAAATTTGCGATCCCTACTAACAGAGCTATATAATGTGATAAATTCTGTAAGAGGTTCGCTCGCAAAAAGTGCCTCAAATAAGCTCGAATTCAACAGCAGATATTACGAATTGCATTAAAATCTTCAAAAGCACAACAGGTAAAATATACCAGCGGCATCAATGATAATCGTAATTAAGACAACCCTTGATATGCAACAGATCCATAAATGCTAACAAAAGGATATAGTTTGCAAGTTAAAGAAATCTAACATCCACACCACGCGAATCGAAAATGCCGGATATCCAGAAAATCCCAGAAGAACTCAATAACTACAGTTCCACTAAACCAACACAAAATTTTCCTACACTGGGTTAGCAAAGCACAAAAAATTTCTCCAACAAACCTCTGGCTGTGGGATGAGGAATATTTCGGATTTCCATCCTCATTTCACTTATTTGAACATATACCCCTACTTGTGACTAATAAAACTTGATATTCCCACATCACTCCAGCAATTCGATTTGTTGTTCACTTCCTACCCTGGAACCACCACCTTACAGCATGAAATGGCGGCATCACATCATATCTGGAATTTCTCAGTTCTACATCCAGGTACTAAATTTCAAGGGAGAGTGATTATTTCTGCATAGATAATAATATCCTTACACAGAAATCGAAGCATAACGTTCTATTTATGAAATTAGAATTTCTTTGATGTTTGCTATCAAGAAATAATCTGTAATTCCGAGGCCGAATATGTGGCCAATAGATAAACCACGTCTCTTGATCGTAAACATAGAGGCCACGTTAACAATCAATGACGCTGAACGGTTACTTTTCCTTGCTTTTATGAAATATAACGAATGAAGAAAATGCTAAGAACTGGCTTAAAAATGCTTCTGTAATTGAAAACCAATTGCGAGTGGAAATGATCTATACTTTAGAATGCGTCAATAATAATCGCCAGGAGAAAAAATTCACAAACAACAAATAAAACGGACATAGCATAATAGGAACCGATGCCAAGACTTATTTCTTTCCTGACCACTAAATTTTCCCTACAAAATGTATTATTCCAACAACGAAAGCAGTAACAGAACTAGTGACGAAGAGAAGTTGAAATTTTAAGATACATCATTGATAAATTGGTTCCAAACAATATTAAAACAAAACAATTACAGACGATATTTTATATACAGTAAAAATTTTTTTAAGATTCAAAAAGAAAATTCTACGGCATATACTCTAAAGAATGAATAAAAGAGGAAGAAAAGAGAGGATACTATAAGAAAAGTGGACTGAGAAAGGAGAGAACGAGGGGGAGGAAAAGACATTATTAAAAAAGACAAACATGCACGCAACACTCAAATTACAACTGCTTTCCGCATAGAGGTAGATAAACATTCAAAAAAGGAACTTTGTTGGTAACGACCATAAGGGTGGCAACGTATACATAACATTTTGTGTTATGCAAGTAAGAAAAATAGCCGATTAACATTATTGCGTGTCTTTTTCCTCCTCCACTAACGCGCCATAATTTTACTCTCCCGGCCATGCAAAGGCAATGCATAATCAAATATTCTCCTCAGGTATACTTGATATAATCAATCATTCCATTACATAGTGAAATTAATCGCACATTATTAATCCCAAACCACAGAAGATCGAAAATCCATTTTGGAATAATCGAAATATTTATCCAAAGTCAGTTCCAAACCTACCTACGTATGTGAACGTTATGCGAGTAGTTAAATATCAATACGAATCTACTGAAAAAATCAAAATCTTCAGGACAAACAATATTCCATTATGCTTTGCCAGACACACTGTTGCCCTAGGACTTATGTCATCGTGATTCCCTTCAATAATAAATCTTCTCATATCGCATAAATTTTTGATAATGTGGAGCATACAAGAATTCGAAAACATCTTACAAAAAATTGCATCACTTGAATAGTAAAAACGAACCCCAGTGTATATTCCCCCAGTGCAAATTACTGTCGTTGAAAGCATTCTATAGATCATTCAAGTAAATATCATTTTGCAATCACCTGCTTAACGTTACCTAGTCTTCACTGAGAGTGATATCAAAAAAAAAAACTTAGAAACACTGCGATTAATAACAGTTACCTCTTTCCAGATGGACAGCAGTGGAATCATATTTTGCAGTATCAAAAGTGAAGCAAGGAACTTAGAGAGTGAAGCTTATGAAACTTGACTGAAAATCGGCGTGATATACTTTGCGCCCTTTCAGTCACTTAAAAAATGGAAACAAGAATGAAAATTCATGCTGAGCCTATACACAAAACGAAAACATTCGAAAAATGAAGAATTGACCTGTAACAAGTTCAACAATGTCATGTAACCTCACACATAATGATAATGGCAATCAATTATCAACTTCTCTTCATTCATTCGTCTCCTCCTGAAATAATTAACTTCTGCTTTTATAAGATAGCAATTTCTCTCCGGTGATTATTATCTATATAATGATTAGGAAATCGCAAGCATAAAAATCGAAATAAATTAAATAACTTTTAGGACTCTATGAATGTACTTTCCGTATCTGAAAACTTAGAACATATATATTCCAATTCCTTCCCGAAACGAAAAGTGGAACTGCTGTAAGCGATGGAAATATCATTAATTACAAAAATACATGTATGAAAACATTACTGTTTAGTGCATTTTAGCTGCTGGAGCACGACCACGTTTTTTAGATGATGTCTTGGGTGACTGCGCTCCGGCAACATAAGCGGCAGCGCGCCGCTTCGAAGGAGCAGGCTTGTAGGATTCTTCACCAGAACCAGTTGAACCACCAGCATCATTGTCCGACAAATCCATTTCCTCGTCATCATCGCTTTCGTCTTTACTACTCTTTTTTCCTGCAAAATTTCGATTCATCAAGAAACATGAATATAACTACATCATCTTCTGGAAGACCTGAAAATAATAAATGGAAGGAAGACCTGCATTACTTTGTACAAACATGGAATCTTCCAAATGAGATAAAAACAAACCCAAACTTCGGGACGGTCTTCCACGACCTCTGCCTCGTCCTCGACCCCGTGATCCACTACTTCCTGCGCGTTTTCGCTTTTTATTACTGCCATATTCGGAATCGCTATCTTCTCCATCATCACTCTCAGCTGCCGCTCGTTTACGTCCACCAGATCGTCCGCCTCGACCTCGGCCGCGGCCCCTCCCACGACTTCGACTAACTTTTTGTTGAAGCTGAAACTATAACAAGCTTGTGATCGTATCAATGAAGAACAGATGAGATCGTTTCAAAACATTTATCAACTAAAAAAAAGGATCATATCTCCTTTGTGATCGCATAGTGAACTGCCCTAAGATGTTCTTTTCAATGGATAATAAAATCCTCCTGGGTAACAAAAAAATAAAAACGCGCTCCTAAATGATGGGTATCTTTCTTCCAGAATACACAAAGAAAAACTACCTACAACAAAAGATAGAAGCTGTAGAACTCTATATGCTAAAAAATTACAAAAAAATTCATAATTTCCTAGCACAAAACCTCATTTTCCAAATCTTCTTG